TGTTCTAAATTGGACTGATGGCTTTGGAACCCATCCTGAGATTTCTAGCACCTTCTTTGTATGTGGTAACCACGTTCACTTAATGAAGTGCTTCCTTAAGTCATGGCCCCAAAAAGGCACAGAGGAGTCTTAGCATCTCTAGAATCGTTTCATTTTTGCCCTTATTATTGTTTATTTCACAGTTGGGCAAGTAATTCTAGGTACATGTTTTTAATCAGGTCTTTGAAGGCTTTGCATATATGTTTGCTTTTTAAAAATCCCGGTGTTGGGGAGACCTTGGTGGCTCAGTGTTAGAGAATCTGCCTGCCCACTCAGGAGAGACGTGGTTCCATCCCTGATGCAGGAAGATCCCACGTGACAGCTAAGCCCGTGCGCCCCACTGTTGAGCCTGCGCTCTGGAGCCCGGGAGCTGCAGTGCCGAGCCCACGTGCTGCCGCGCCGGAAGCCTGTGCCCTGGAGCCCATCCCCTTCTGCACAAGGGAAGCCGCTGCAGTGGGGAGCCCGCACACTGCCCCTGGGACGCAGCCCCCACGCCCCACAGCTGAAGAAAACCCGCCCAGCAGTGAAGACCCAGCACGGCCAAAAATAAAATAATCCCTGTGTTGGGGAGAATTAGTATAGTGAGACAAGTAAGGAACCAAGAGTTAAGTCATCGGATCTTCAAAACCTTCTCTCATAATTATTGTTTCTAATTCATCCCTCCCAATATCAAAGCCACTGAGGCAAATGCGTACATTAAAATCAGTTTATACATAGACTAAATCTTACTGGGAACAGTAATAGATAACAGTTAATTTAGTTATCATTTCTCACTTAAAGGATAAAATAAATCTTCAATTCTTGGTGAAAGTGGAGATAAATACTTGTGAGCAGATGTGTACTGATTTAGTTATAAAATGGGTTGGATATTTAGCAGTACATTTATTGTTATTTTTCCACCTTAAAATTAAGTAGAATCTGTATGAAAATAAACAGCTGAATTCTAGTTCAATAGAACTAGAATAGGCATTTAATAGGCATTTTATTAAACTAAATGTAAACAGCTTGAAGAGGGGGGTACATACATTGATTAATGTCTTATTGCAGGTGTTCATATGTCCTGTAAAGAATGTCACAGGCTCAGAGGTGGTCCATGTTGTTTTTTCAGTCTACTGCTACTATGTGGACTTAGTATCAAACTCATATTAAAGAAATATCTGGCATATCCTGAACATTTTATCTTATGACTTGTTAATATAGAGATATATAAGCAACATGTAGTGTTTAAATATTCAGCTCCTTATGTACCTGCCATCTTTATTTGGTATAGATGGAGAGAAGAAACCCTGTCTGTGATAACAAATCAAATGATGTTTGTGGCTTATGGGTAGTCAGTTTAATCTAGTGGATTAGAAATATCTCATCTGTCTTACTCTGTCGCCATCTCTTAATTAAATACAGAATTTTGATGCTGAATTACACTTGGGCAATTAGTTTATATTTTAGCAGAGATAAACTGATGAATGTTTTGAAGCTATATTTGTAAAGCTTCACTGAGAAATAAAATGGACTTTACATAAATGTAATTTACACCTACTTTTAAAAGCTTTGATGTTTTGAAAAGAATGGCCACCTGATGTGAAGAGCTGACTCATTTGAAAAGACCCTGATGCTGGGAAAGATTGAGGGCAGGAGGAGAAGGAGACGACAGAGGATGAGATGGTTGGATGGCATCACTGACTCGATGGACATGGGTTTGGGTAAACTCCGGGAGTTGGTGATGGACAGGGAGGCCTGGCGTGCTGCGATGCATGGGGTTGCAAAGAGTTGGACACGACTGAGTGACTGAACTGAACTGAACTGAACTGACCTTTAAAAATATATTCAGGGAACTCATTTAGCACATGAAATTTATCATCCTCTGGGTGTTAGAAGTTCAAAATTATAACTTGCGTATTAGCAAATGTGAAAAGTCATGTCTCTTGTTACAAGTTAACTTGCATTGTCAGTTCATTTCTCTTTTAGCCTGAAGTTATAAAATATTCATATATAATCAAGATATATTTGCAGTAGTATTAAAGGATTCACTATGTACCTGACAGAAGTTCTGAAACCATTTTTCATGTTTAAGCCATTGCTGTTACGTATATAAAACATTCAGATTACTCTATAGAACCATATTACCCTGTAACATATAGGGTTCCTATAGAGTATTATCAGAGCTTAGAATTTTATCACTTCCTGTGTAGACATATTATTGGACTAACAATACTTTAGTAGCCTGCTATGTTTTGAGTGTTGTTTTTGAAATAAGGAAAGACTTAAAATAGGCTAGAAATTACAGTCTTTTGGTATTTAAGTGAATAATGAGTATACCACATAAAGATTTTAGAACACAATGAAAAGTATTACAAACAGATGTAAAACAACAGTGAAAATTAAATATGAAATTTTGAGGTAAATGAACTGTCAGTGACAAGTTTAACTTATTAGAACAAGTTTCCTGTCAGAAAAAGTTTGAATATTATTTTAAAGGAAGAATGTGGGTTAGTCCAGAGAGCAACTAAACCAAGCAGAAACACTCAGACAGCCTCGTGTAGGAGGCTGACATGATGACACTGTCAACAAAGGATATGATTGACCCTCTGGTTTTATCTTTAAGTTTATGATAAGAGGGTCCTTACCTTCCTGGGCTTCCTTGGTTGCTCAGAGGGTTAGAGCATCTGCCTGCAATGTGGGAGACCTGGGTTCAATCCCTGGGTTGTAAAGAATGCCCTGGAAAAGGCATGGCAACCCACTCTAATATTCTTGCCTGGAGAAGTCCATGGACAGAGGAGCCTGGCTACAGTCCATGGGGTCACAAAGAGTCGGACACAACTGAGCAACTAACACTTTCACTTTCATGTTAACGTAATAATGAAATAGACAGGAATCAAAATCCTTTCTCCATTCATTCAAGCAGAGTACTTTTCTGAGCTCTGGTTATGAATAAACATGCCAGTCTTATGGTTGGTCATGAGGGTACAGATGCTATGTATGTACAAAGTTTGGTATGTAATAGACTCTAAGCAAATATTAGTCCTTCTCCCTTTTTAGGTCACATACAACAGTATGATATGTGACTAGGAAATCTGTTAAGATTTATTATCTCCATATCAAGATCAAATACAATATACGGTCCAAAGGGGGGATATGAAGAAGTAACCTTTATTTTGGATGCTTGGCAGTTGTCTCTGAACATGTTTTCTCCTAATGCTCACGTGGTTTAAAGGATGAGAAATAATTCAAGGGTTAAGTAGGGCCTTGGCCTACATCGTTCCTGAATGCCATCTGCTCTGCTAAGTGGATGCAGTCACAGCAGTTGTTCGTCAGGATTATTCATAGAAACAGACACTCCGGGGCCACCAGGGGAGAAGTTACCAGGAAGCCGCAGAGCTTGAGCTGCAGAGAGCCTCATCTGCATGGGCCCCTTTGTAGGCATCCAATCTGTAATTTGCACGCTTCTCCTTTAAGTGGGTGGGTGCTCAGTCATCTACAACTCTTGGACTGTAGCCCACCAGTCTCCTCTGTCCGTGGCATTTTCCAGCCGAGGATACTGGAGAGGGTTGCCATTTTCTTCTCCTAGAGATCCTCCTGACCCTGGGATCAAACCTGCGCCTCCTGCATTGACAGGCGAACTCTTTACCAGTGCACCCGCTGAGCCCCTCTAATTAGATAACCTTCAGGCTCCACAAAACCTGGGTCCACTCTCAAGGGACTGTCAGGTAAAAGGGGGAAAAAATCAATACAATTGAAAAAGATGAGGTGGCCAATAGCAGGAAAAGCAGGCTTGGCTTCTATTGACCAAATAATGATCGGTAGTTACCTTTGACCACTGATGCCCATATGCCCTTGACCATAGCCAGTCCTTGCCTGTCCAGGAAGGCACTGTCTAGTCTAGCATCAGTCTAAGAATCATCCATATGAAGAAGTGATAAAGGAGATCAGCTGGCAATCAGGGAATGTCAGTTACACTGCCCAGGTATTTGGTTCCTCACAGTTTCAGGTGAGTGAAGGGGGAGGGATAAATGGAACCAATATTGTACTGATCTGACTCAGTATGTGCCCCCACATGGGTTAGTCCCTGTATGGATATTACCACATTTTTATATTCTCATGTAAGTAATATCATCTAAATTGTAGCCTGGGAGATAAGAAGTAACCTCAGTATTTACCTGTAACTTGACAGCAACAACTTCTGTATTTTCCTGTTAACTTGTCAACGACAACAGTTGTACAGATAGCATTGTATACACAGTCCTGTACAGGCATTTGCAACTAAAATTACAGCTGGGAACTAAAATGGTATTGCAGATACGCTTATACCTACTGGGGCTTTCGTGGTGGCTCAGCTGGTAAAGAATCCACCTGACTGGGTTCAGTCCCTGGGTTGGGAAGATCTCCTGGAGAAGGGAAAGTCTACCCACTCCAGTATTCTGACCTGGAAAATTCCATGGACTGTATAGTCCATGGGGTTGCAAAGAGTCAGACATACCTGAGCGACTTTCACTTTCACTTTACACCTATTGTCATTCCCTTACACAAAGAGAAGTTTCTGTCCCTTAAAAAATTTTATGTAATCCTCTCTTTTAAAGAATCATCTTTGTCTCTTCTTATTTCGCAGGCCACCTCATTTTTGCTTATCATAGCATCAACAAAATATACCTTCACAGCATTTTACATTGCTTCCTAATCATTGAGTGAGATGTTATGTTTAGTAAGATAAGTGAATTTTCTTCAGGATGTGTTTGTCTATATTAGTCAAAAGCGAACAGCTTCAGCATCTGAAATGTTATTGAGCTTTACATATCTAAAGGGTTTGATACAAAGATGGCCTTAAAGAATGTGATTATAAGCAAACTCACAGCTTCAGGAATGCTATCTAAGGCTTTTATTTTGGTGAAATTTGTATCTTTTGTTCCATAGATACTTTATTAAAAATTTAATAACCTTGTTCTTCTTTCCCTCTTTCTCTATTACAGATCCACATCCAGAGAACTGAAGGGTGTGACCATATGACCTGTTCACAGTGTAACACTAATTTTTGTTATCGATGTGGGGAGAGATACCGCCAGCTCCGTTTCTTTGGAGACCACACCTCAAACCTCAGTATATTTGGATGCAAATATCGCTACCTCCCAGAGAGACCTCACCTAAGGAGATTAGTGCGAGGGTCAGTCTGTGGTGAGTGTCCAACATTATTTATAGGAATCTTCCTCAGGAAGTATGCAGTGATGATGATAGAGCTTAGAAATGCAATCCGGCAGCTATGATAAATCTCAGCACCTGCCATGTATTCTAGTAGAGCCTTTAGCTGAAAATATGAGGAAGACATTTTCTCTTCTTTTGTGTTTAAAATAAAAAAAACTGAAGTTTGTTAGCAGGACACTACCTATATGAGCAAGTGGATTTTGTTCGAAAAACGAGTAATTGAATATACCGCAGAAATGTGAAGTCATTAGTCTTCTGAAACCCTTTTGTAAGTGATTTGGTAAAAGGGGACACTGTCACATTTATTTTTGTAGTGACGATACCTAGCAGCGGGTCTTAACAACATAACCTGTTTATTCACAGAAGACATAACAGTACAATTTTTTAAATCCCTGTGTTTCAGAGCCTTGTGATAGAGTTCCACTGTACCTATATAGTTGATAAGTCATATATATTTTCTATTAGTATGTATTTTCTATTGTATTAGAAATTAATATCAATATTAATAGCTAACAGTTAATGAAATGAGCATCAAATGCCTTCATTGCATACAAACCCAAGTTTAAATATCCATGGTTTTGATCCCTGGATCGGGAAGATCCCCTGGAGAAGGAAATGGCAACCCACTCCAGTATTCTTGCCTGGAGAATCCCATGGACAGAGGAATCTGGTGGGTTACAGTCCATGGGGTCACAGAGAGAGTCGGACATGACTGAAGTAGCTTAGCATGCATGCATGAAATGCTTTTATGGATTGACTTTTTACTGCTTTCTTCATCCTCAACAACACATGGTCTCATATACAAATATGCAAACATAAACACAGATTCCTGTGTGCAGTGTTCTTCTGGCCTAATAGTTCTTCTAATGGCTCCCTCCTCTGGAATATACCTACCATGAGATTTCCTTTTTTTTATAACCCAGAACTCCATTATTTCTTCCTCTGGTAGTCTTTCTCACGTATGCAATACTTTTAAACATCATCCACATTTCTCCCTTTCTACTTACCTCATGATGCTCTCTTATATCTCTCTTCAACCCTCCATCACTTCATTAGGGTTGTAAAACCACTCGCCTTGCTAGAATCATGGCAGGCTACTCAGAACAGTTGGTGGTAATGATATGCTTCTGACAGCTAAACAATAGAACATATTATTTTAAACTTAATTTTATCATGTGGAAACCAGTACCGTCATTTTCTAAAATCTTACATGATCTCTGTAAAGCACTCTTCCTGAGCTTTGTTTAGTTAAACGCAATGTTCCATAGCCAATAGCATTGAATATAGACAAGATTGGTTTTAATGATTTTTAATGCTTTTTGGTTTATTTGCATATAATAGTGTATGTTACAATTATATAACCAATATGTGCTTACTAGTTTAGTAGGCTTTGGAGAGATAACTAGGGAATATAACCACTATTTATAACAATACTACCATGAGAAAGCTAATTGCAAATTAAGTTTTTGAGCTATAACCTATTTGTAAGTCTATATAAACAGAGAACAACGTGAAAACCAGCGCCTGTATCTTTTCCTGCATTGCTGGTTCTTTTCTTTCCTACTTCAGTGCCTTTTTGTTGCAGGATGTTTCCTTCCATTTTTATTTTTAATAATCTTTGATTAGACTGTGCTTTTTTTTTTCATTTTTCTGTTTAGTCATTCTTAAATAAAGCTATTTCCCACCCTATTTGTCCAATGATATTTGGACACCTCTTTAGGTCCTCTCACTATTTGCCTTGATGCCTCAGAATCCTCTTCCCAGATCATAAAATGCAGTCAAGTTATTTAACAGCCTGTAGGATGGACAGGCCATAAAAACATTGTCATCAGGGAAATATTTTCTTTGTACTGTCTTCATTTTAAAATTTTACAGATTTCTGTAAATGGTTTCCTTTTGGGGCCCATTTTCGTGTGTGTGTGTGTGTATGTGTATACTCATGTATGTCAGGATGTGCCTGACAAAGCAGGGAGCAGCTGGCCTTATAAGTCCTCCCTCCTACACATATTTTTCCACCTTCAGGACAGCTGTCAGACCATCTCAGGTATGGCAGGAAAATGTGGACTTTTCTCCTATGGACAAACAGTGAAGAATACAGTAATCCATGTCACCCATTACATTTTACAAAATGGAATAAAATGATTTTATAAGCAGTGTTTTTAAATAAAAGAGTAGTTCAGTTTCAAGCATCTCATCCCTACAAAAGGCAGCACAAGGAGTCACCGTGTCAGTCGCAAGCTTGCTTCCTCCCTGCCATGGAAGAGAGTAGGTGGATGGCAGCACAGCCCTCCTCACCTCTGTCTTTCGCTGACCTACAGTTTGGGAAGCCTGCAGATGTCCTGGATAGAGACAGGAAGAGGGCCTGCCCTCCTGTCACACCTGGAGGGTGAGAAACAAGGTCTTCATTTCATGTCACCATCTGCCCAGCCTCAGAGCAGAGGTGCTGCCTCTGGAGAATACGGCAGAGCGGCGATGGGAGGATAGTCAGCGGCCTCTGACATGGAAGTGTCTCCCTAGACGGGAGTAGGCAGATTTTTCAGTGAATGGCTTCCTGGGTGGCTCAAGCATAAAGAATCTGCCCACAATGCGGGGGACCTAGGTTCAGTTCCTGGGTCGGGAAGATCCCCTGGAGAAGGGCATGGCAACCCGCTCCAGTATCCTTGCCTGGAGAATCCCATGGACAGAGGAGCCTGGTGGGCTACAGTCCATATGGGGTTGCACAGAGTCAGACACGACTGAGTGACTGACACTTTCACTTTCACATTTTCAGGGAGGAGGCAGATTTTTCAGTGAATTTTTCACTTTTCATCTTTTAAGAGTGAAAAGATTTTTCAGTTTTATTGGGAATAAAAGTGACATAAAAATGCTTAGTTCCCGTATTATTCCATACAAATATTCAAAGTATTAAAGCATACGTTGGTGAAGAAAATACAGGTGTTTAATTGATTTCTTGTTGACAAGTAGCTTATATACAAAAGTAGCTTATGCAAAAGAAATGGAAGCCCCTAAAAAATAAATATCAATTTTTTTTTAAAAAAGAAAAGAAGTCTGGAACCAGAATTGAAGAAATAAAGATAGCTAATAAACATGTTTTAAAAGATTCAGCATTATTAGTAGTCAGAAAAATGTAAATTAAAATAAAATGAGGTTTCTTTGGGTTATTGATTAGCAAATATTTTGTCAAGTTAATACTCTGCACTGAATTTCCATACTCTATTGAATGAATTGGAAATTTTGTGCAGTTCTTTTACAAATAAATTTGATGGTAACGTGATAGACATTTTAAAATATGATAAATCTAGGCTGACAATGGTGTACTTGCAAGTATAATTTAAAATAGCAGAAAAGGGAACAAAAAATAAGTACTAAAATATTTAAATAAGATAGGATATATGGATATGATAGAATGTTGTTTCCGCTATTGAGAATAGTATTTTAAAAGAATTATTATTGATGTAGGAATAACAGATTCTGAGCTTAACTGTCCTCAAGACAGTTTTAAAAGTAGACTTAAACATGTATCAAGTATTGATTGCATGATTGTAATAAGTTTATTGCTTCCCAGAGAAAAAGAGAGCACGTATCTGGTTCTTTGAGTTCTGTGATGTTTGAAAGTAATAGTGCTGTTACTTTGCAGTCATGTTTTATGAAAATATATCATTCTTATGAAAATTGATAATTACTTAGAAATATGAATGAGCACATTGAGCTACATATACAGGAGAAAACAGATTCACTTAAAATATGCAAGTCAATATATTCTAAACTCAAACATAGCTTTATGAGTGTACAAAATATAATTGTTCAGTGGGATTTAGTATTGCTTGATAAATTATATCATAGGTGAAAAATGTAAGTAAACCTCATGGTTAGACATTTTGTCAACTGAATGGCAATTTTTTCAAAATTAGATATTAAAAAATATATTTCCTAAAAAAATTATTTTCTGTCTATATGTTTTCTGTGGTTCCAGAGACCCTTTCTTAAGAATAAAAAATGTTAATATTTTTCTGACAATTTTCCAACAAACAGCAACATTATGTTTCTGTTTTCTAATGTAGTTGGTTATTCCAAATTACCATCCTTATTTATAGAATGGCATTGCTGCTTGCAGCAATGCGATTCTACTGCAAAGTCCCTCCATCCCTTCCTCTTCTCTTGTTGTGTTTGGGTTCTGTGGCTGTTGCTACATGCTTTGAGATCAAGACTACCATGTAATGATAAAGATGGCAATGTAAAAATGTGAACTATTAGCCCCTATTTTTGTGCTAGTGCCTTGTAACACCAGTAGGATTCCAGTTGTGAACTGTGTGCTATAACTAGAGTTTATTGTAATCACTGCTCAGTTACTCATTCAGAGGAAAAAATGCTGGTTGATGCCACTGGCATCCTTACCAGTGTTTAGCCTTCTTATAGGTGCTTCCTTTTTTAGTTTGCTAAAATGATTTATTTGAATACCCTTCAGTATATTGTGTGTCTACTGGTAATTATCTCTAACAACAGTATTGAAACATCGCATTTGTCATTCAGTATATTAGATGTTCATATTGTTAGTTTTCTTTGGACCCAGGAAATAAATAAATTGCATTTTCAGATGGGGGCTTGGGCAGAACCCTTTGTAGCACCTGCTAGCTCTCCATTTTGTGAGCTAATTAGATTTTCTTTGGCCAGCTCAGGATGTGTCACTCCCTTTTTAGTCTTTCAGAATATTAAAAAAAAATTAAAATGGAAGAGATCTAAAGGAAAAGCACAAAGCTGAATGGTTCTGGTGGAATAAAGTGAGTCAGTAGCTTTAGAATTTTCTTGGTTGTATAAGGTAAGTAATTTATGAGATGGATGACTCATGTGCCCAGGATTTGAGTGAAGTTACTAAATTTACATATTTGTTTTACACCTGATATATTTCCAGAGAAATATTGCCTTAATTATAATGACTCCTTAAAAATACACACTGTGATATTTAAAAGCGTTGCTGAATTTGTATCTTGGTTTTAGTTTAAGACTCTCTAAATGGTTTGCCTTTTGTTTTCCAGCTGGAAAATTGTTCGTTGCACCTCTTATTCTGGTCTTGGGATTAGCACTAGGGGCCATAGCAGTTGTCATCGGTAAGAAACACTTAACGTATTTGAGATAAGAATTCTCTGGGTGCCATAGAGAGAACACGAATGTAAATGTAATAGTGAGTCAGTTATTAAGTAGGGGAGATAACCTGTCCCATGCTTGCTCTAGATAAGCCATCAGCACATGATTTATAGATTCAGAGGAGTGTGTTTCATATAGGATGTATTTGTGTGGCACTTTTTCAGTCCATGAATACTCTCATTCATATTTCTTATAAAGCATTATTAACCCTCTTTTAATACAAAAGTTGGGGTAACTAGTATTTTACCAAAAGATTCCAGTGGACGAGAACCCAGAGTTTCCAATTCTGAGTTCAGTTTGGAGCATCAAAGGAAAGAGGCTCTGGTACAGTTTGGTTAGTTCTAATAAAAGGATTCCCTGGGTCAAAAAGATACGTTTGATGTGTGTAGGAACACATGCCCAACATAAAATTGAGCACTGACAAATAGAAGATGTATCATTGATAAATATAGTTTCATTCCTACAGCTATGTTAAAATACACATTTCAAGCAGTGATTCTGAGACTCTGGAGTGCTTTATAAGAACCATGAAGGCTGGTTAAAACACAAGTTAACGGGTCCTTGCCCTAGTTTCTGCTTCACTATAGAGACGGGACCCATGGATTTCTAGTTCTAAAAGGTTAGGTGACGCTTGTGCTGATGGTCCACGGACCACACTTTGAGAACCATTGCTTTAGAGAATTTAAAAGAAAACATGATAGCTAAAAGCTGCTTGGATAATTGTTCCATGTAGTAGATAGGATTTCTCTTTTTTTCCTACATAAATTGATTTTATATGTAAAGTTCTGTTTAGCAAGTAGTTCGTATGTGCAGGATAGATGAATTATAAAGTAACTGACATTTATAAGTTCTTACAATGAGTGAGGCTTTATGAAGTAGATGCCATTTCTGCATTTTACAGTTGAGGAAATTAAAGCTAGTCGCTAGGACCTCACAAATGGTAGAACTGGGAATCAAAGCTGACATTTGCTCCACCCCGCATCTTCTTGAGTAACATGTTATATGGCCTGAAACCGAAGCAAGAATATCAGTGTGAAAGATATGATCAGAGTTAATAAAGAAGACTTAAACTTATTTTGGTATTTTGATTAAAAAAAAATTATATCAAAACTGGTGTCACAGACTCTGTTAAAAGGTGAGGAGAGAGTTTAAAAAACAAACAAAAAGAATAAAGAAGAGAATCTGGAAAAACTAAGTACGTTTCATAACATAGATATCTTCCCTCTTTTCATGTATTGCTAAATAATGATTATTAATAAATAGCTTGCAAAATGAACATTTGAAAATAGAAACATTACAAATCTATAATACTAAAAGCCTGTCTTTTTAATTAACTTTAATCTTTTTCTTTTTTTTTTTTAACCCCTAGGTTTGTTTGTATTTCCTATCTATTGCCTTTGTAAAAAACAGAGAAAACGATCACGGACAGGAATGCACTGGTAAATGCAGATGATGTCGTCTGACAGCGCTGGTCTGGGTAAGAACCGCATAGGATGATGCACGCGTCAGAGGGCTGCGCCTTGCAACCGTCTAGAGGAACCTTCTGCCTCCTCTTCCCCCATGTTCTCTGCCGGCCACAATGCCTCTAGCTCCAGTGCGTTCCCAACATGGTATCCTGTCTTTTCCGTATACAGATTGCTGCTTTTACGAAACGGTCACTTTCATAGACTATAAACATCTATATCATAACTCTTCATGGTTCTTGGAAGATAATACTTCAGTTAGAACCAGTTATCGTCAGAACTGTCTGAGCATGTGTCTCCTGAGCATAGCTTAGACTGTCTCTGTCCCCTACTCTCCCTCCAGGCCTTCTTCTGAGACTTGGGGTGAATAACTCAAGTGCCCCCTGCACCAACGAGCAAGGCCACCTTTCAGAAGATGGAGGCTCACCACATGCACCTGTTTTCATCTGTGGCCCAAGCGTATAATTCCTTCCTCCTTCAGATGCTCTAATTGTTCAAAATCTCAATGCCCAAAAAGGAACTAATGAAATTAAATGAGAAGAATCGTAGTTACCGAAGTGTATACGTGTAGGGGTGTGAATGTGTGTGTATATACATATCTATATTAAAACTAGGTCCAATACCTTGTTCTTGTCGAGTTCCATGCCTCTACACTATTTTTCCATATGTTTGTAGACATATTTAAAGATGATCGTTCCTTTGTGGGCATAATTTGGTAACGTACTGAATTAAAGTCAGTGTAGACAACATGCTATTTTGATGTTGACCCTTTCTATTTCTTGCTGTCTCAGATGCACACACAGAAATTTGTGCAGTGTCACTTCAAGGATTATCAAACTTTTATAAACTGACAAAACTGATAGGTTGCTTCTAGGAAATTCTCGAGACCTAAACATTCAGTCTTCTTATCAGATTTCTTACATGTTAGCATACTTGCTTCACTCTATGGTTAATTTAAATGAGTTTGCTGTAGAGAGAACTGCTGAGGCCTTTGAACATATCCCCATTCTGCTAATTGTTTCACCAACTTGTAATGATAGTAATTATGCTTTAGATTAAGCATATGGTATTAATTAAAACCCCACCCTCTCACCTCTCCTTTCTCTATTTGTCCCCAAGTTTTCATAAAAACAAATACTGTTTTTGAAGGATTTTTCTTATATTTACTGCTTCAATGCATAATAATGTGTTGGTATCTTCTTATGGAGGGGTGACTTGAAACAAAACTTTTTATGTTCACAGGTTTATCTAAAACATAAACTGCTTTTAGAGGAGGAAGCAAAAAATGAAAAAAAAAATTTTTTTTCAGGATGTTTTACCAAACTGAGAAGTCTTTAAAAGTAAGAAAAGGACAAATAACTGAATTGTGTTTTATTTTGTTTTCATTATGAGTATTCATCATTAAAGACCCCTAAGAAGCCTAAAGTTTCCACTTGTCTCCAAATCCTTAACATTAGTTATTGGCATTGATGTAGCATTTACTTGTCAGCTGCCTTTTCTTAATTGAAATAGATTATGTGATAAAACATGCATTAACATGGATAGTTTGTCTGGGCTTCAGAGTATAACATTTATCATTTTTATTTGATCTAAAAAGTACATGATTGTGAAGTTTATGTGCGCAGATAACAAGCCAGCACTTCCATTCTCTCTGAGTAACACTCAGAAAAACTTTACTGCTGGACTAGTCTATTTCCAGTTAGAGGAGGCTGTGTCCATTTATGGTCCTAGAATAGCATATTTCAAAAGCATAACATGATACCAGAAGTCATGCTGTAGCTTCACAAATTCATCCATGCCTCTACACTGTTTCTGCATCCATGCAACTATCTTATCAATCCAGCAACTATTTATTGAGTGCCTAGTATACATCCTTTAGTATGAAAACTGAGAGAATGGAAAGTTCTAACCCTAAATCCACATAATTTTGTCAGAAAAGTGCTTAATTTTTGTAAATTAGTCTTTCCCTTCCAGGACTTAGGTGTTAGTTTAATGATGTGTGCATGTGATGAATTCTAAATCTAGTGGATGTGTCTATGTATGATATGTGTATGTATATATATCTAGATATATACATAGCTGCATATGAATACATATATACCACCTAGCTAAATAATATACTCTTTGGTCCTGGATAATCTATTTCCTTAGGTTATTGTATCTGTGTGTCTGTTGTCTTTGGCCTACTCAGGGATTTTTTATTCCTTTCTTTGAATAACTTATCTTTTGGAGATATTTTTATATTATTTGGAAATGTTCCAATTTTCCACTTACAGAGCGGTGTCTGTTATCAGTGAAGGCTCTCTCATCAACACTTGTGATAGTGTGCACAGCATTGCACAGGATTTTCATTTTTATATTTCATAGACTTTTTAAAATTAATGTGTGCATTTTTCACTTTCAGAGTTGCTATATATCAGGCCTTTCCCTGCTAGTGACTTACAGTAGGTATTTGTGAATTTTTTTGCTGAGTGTCATTAAGATCTTAAAAAGGAAGGAGAAAGATAAAAGAGATTATTTATATGTTAGTGCCAACATTGAAAGTAAAACAACCTTACCTTTTGGAGGAAATTTTAAAAATGACTTTAGAAAAATAAGTATGTGTATAAGATGAATATCTTTTTACCCAAGGCTTATCATTTTAATGTGTTTTCACTATAAATGTAATATATGCTTCTTTAAAAAAAAATCAGCTATAAGGAATTATAAAACACAAATTCCTCTGCTTTTCCCCACCCCTTATTTTCTAGGGGTAACCACTGTTAATGGTTTGGTATAGGTCTTTCCAGATACTATCTAAAAATATACAAATAAGTAAATATGTATGTGTGTGTGTGTATCTGTGTATGTATTAGTTTTGTACAAATAGAATAATGCTCACTGTCCTGTGACTATTTTTCATTTTACTATGTGTTGGTAGACATATTTCCATAAGTGTTTAAATAGAGTTACCTCATTCTTTTGTAAATTACTACATATTCCATTGAGGGGCATACATTAATTTATTTAATCAGCCCCCTATTAAGTGGACATCAAGATTGTTTTCACTTCTCTGTTACAAAACATTGGTGAAGACCCTTTACATATATTTTTGTCACTGTGTGAACATTTTCATAAGTTTTTAAATTTGGTTTTTATATTTGTAATAAAATTTTAATGCATTTTCAATGAATGCAGATCATAGAGACAATATATTTAAGACCCTTTTCTTGGAGAAAAAGTTGTGTAAAAGTGCACCATTTTTAAAGAAAAGCATATTTTGCAGGGTAATTTGTCCTCATGCTTGATTAGCCCAATAAATATCTTGCCAACACAAAAGAAAATTCATCTTATTCCAATAAAAATAAAATACAATGAGATGTCTATAAGATAATGAGAGAAAGATACATTGATGTTTGGATTGCCTGGTTTCAAAACTTGAGGAATTTAAGTGAAATGGCTAAAGTGATCATGTTTGTCACATTTTTAAAAACACTATCCATGTTCATGCATGTTGTTCCACAGAGGAGCTTAATTATGCCATTGTGAAAAGTAGGAAGCAGTATGTTGGTAATTATGAATGACCACATTATCCACAGAAAAATAATTTTGAGTGTACATAAAGTTGATGGTTTGTTGGGGTGCTTATAAACAGAACAGCATGACTTTTTAAAAAAATGATTCCCAGCATTTCCTGAAGGATTTCTGTATGTGGAGTCAAGAAGAAAAGCGGAATCAAACCTTTTGGCACAAACAGCATCCTCTTGCCACCACCCTGATCTTCCGATAGGCGCTATTGTTCCCTAAAGGTAGAGCAGACTGGAGAACAATCAGAGGTAATTAAACACTGCTCAGGTTACAACCTGATGTCTTTAGTTGTGCTGCCCTTTCTGTGATACCGGATTCTTTAGTACCTATCAGGGGATTCCCTGTCTTGTGTCACCCATCATCTCTTGAGTCCCAAGGCCACAGGTGAGTCCTTATCTTTTGATCCTGTCACCCAAATAGATGGCCCAAGGCTCCCCTACAAGACCTTCAAACGGTTTTCCAGTCCTGAAACAGCCCAACCTCATTTTCTCCACTTCTCTGAGACTCTAACCAGCTCCTCTACAGTAGAAAAGAGGAGGAAAGGAGTGGGTTACAAACTCACTTAGGAGCTTGCAAAGCAGTTCCATTCCTCCCGGACTTTTGTCAGATTACAGTACATCTGCCAACACATTGATCTAGTTTCTCCCTGATTAAACAATGCAGTTGTTTTTAACACTACAATTTTATAAGCTCTATTGAATTCATGATTATAAAAGTTAGTGGCCTACGTAATATTAATTGATATACTTCATTAAGTACCAAGATAAAAATTCATACCAAATGCCATTTTATATTTGAATGTTTTATGCAAGCTGCACATATGCCTTAATGTCAGTCTTCCCATTGGATTGTGTGCTTAACCTTTCATATTTGTGGCCGAGATCTGTCTCAACTCTTGAAAGTAATCTTTCCTGTGGTCAGCTTTATTGTTTTGTGTTAATGCCTATTATAAATATAGCCTTAAGGTCCAATAATGCACTTTAAAATACTTGTGTCATTTTAAATAATCTGACAGAGTTGAAGAAACTGATCACAATGTTTTGATGGAGATAGTAGAATAACAGTGTTAGCAAATAGATGTCACCTCTTTAAATCTGGCAGGCAAGCAGGGAGAAGGGTGGAATCAGAAGCGGAAAATTTAAAACAAGTAAAACGTACCTGAAAAAGATACAGCCAAGTTTCCGAAACACATAGTGATTCTAAAAATTGGTATTAGGAGCTTGAACTTAGCAAGCAATTAATACATGTTACCTAATCACTTCATTGGAATATTTGTTTAAAATATTAAGTTAGTTTCCACTGCAAGTTTTAGCTGCATTTTTTATTTTTCATGAAATCTATAAAAGAAATTCCACCAACTAGTACCATAGTAAATAAAAACTACCGTTAATAGCCGGTGTAAGCATATTTTGT